TGTGTGTGTGATTTTGACTGAAGGTTGGTGGGGGCATCCCTGTCCTCAGACCATGAAGCATGCTTGTGTTACTCTGCTGTGCTCGGTGTCCCAGTTCTTTCCCCCTTCTCCCTCCAGGGGTGCTTTCTCTGTGGTCCGCAGGTGTGTGAAGAAAACCTCCACGCAGGAGTATGCAGCAAAAATCATCAATACCAAGAAGTTGTCTGCCCGGGGTGAGTGTTCCCCAGCTTGGCCTCTCCCCAGGGTGCCTCCAAGGGCTATGGCTTCTTCTGAAGATGCTCTAGGAGTTGGGGGTTGTGCATTTTAGCACTTGGAGAAGAGTTGGGATTTCCGGGTGGGTGGACTTTGAAGCCCAGGAAGGAGTTGCATGAGGAACCCGAAGTGCTCAGGTAGAAAAGAGGGAAGAAGATGTAAGAGATGTAGGTAGCTGCAGGGAGGAGCAGCCCCTGAAGGCTCAAGGGAGCTCGGTTTTTAGGGAGAGGGAGGACATTGGGAATGGTGGGTGGCATGGAATGGAGAGCTCTTAATTTGGGGCATTTGGAGTTTCTGTGTTTGGGGCCGTGGTAGCCACTCCAGGCCTGTCGTCGTCCCTGTGCCCCAGTGGTGACTTAGGATGGAAATGCAGTAAGTGAACAGCTCTGACAAATCAGCCTCCCCCTGCCCACCAGGCGGCGGAACAGACTCCCAAGGGAAGGGAATCTGTAAACATCAGAGGAGGCTGCTACTGGCGAGGGCTTCTGGGAACAAATCCTGCCAGATGAACTTGATTGCTTTTTTGATCAAATTACAAAGTTGGTGGTGCAGCAGCAGATGCAGCCTGTCCTGGGTGGAGGGTGATGCCTCATGGTCTGGAATTCTCAATGGCCTGGTCTGGGTGGGAGCAGCATTGCCTCAGGGTCTGAGGATTAGGAAGGGCCAGGCCTTAGAACCTGACTCGTGAGATCCATCCTCCTGAGTACCTTAGAGTACCTGAAGCCAGGAGGGTCAGGCCCTGTCTTTCACACCTCAAACCTACACTCTCTGAACCTTGTATTGGGTGCTTGCCAAACTCACCTCATCTGATAGGTATAGACTCAGCAATGTGTGAAATGCTCTGTGAACAGGTCTGATGAGTACGGCGGTATGTGGATGGGTTGGGTCATCGAGGGCTACAGGGTGCAGCCGGGGGACAAATTTTATGAGATTCGGAGAAGGGAATTAGGGCTGGGCAATAGGATGCCATAAATACATTAGGAGCCAGGACAGATGCCTGAGGGAAGACAGCGGAAGACTGGGCTATAGCTAGTGGGGAACCAGGTAGGGTAAGAGGTGTAATAGATGTCCCCAAGCATTGGAGAAACTAAAAAATTCTACAGAGATGACAGTGGGCTTCTGTCATGTTGACAATTGTTCTGGGACCTATTTAGCAGGGTGTCTACCTCTTGGCTGGGAGGGCCTCTCTCCATCCCCACAAGCAGAGCTTGTCTTGCTGTCTCCCAGCGCTCGTCTCTTGCTGCTCCTCTACGTTGGCTATAAAGTTGACTTATTTGTTTGTTTTCTCTCTCTCTGGGTACCTTGAATTGAAGGCGGTTACCATAGAGATAGGTGGGCAGTCAGATGCACTCCTCCCCTGGGGTGCAGGGCGGGGGGTGCAATGCGGTGGGCTGGGCTCTTTGGCAGACATCCTCTGGCCAGGGATGCAGGGTGCAGGCAGAAATGATAGTCTGAGAGTCCTTACCTTCCCGTGTCCACGCAGCATTGCCTTGGTGCGTCAGAAATGGGGCTGGTATCTGGTGTCTCCAGTTAATCTTGTAATGCTTTGCTTTTCCTCATCTCACCAGTGTCCTCTGACCCAGGGGTGAGAGACAGAAAGATAGCTGGGAGCCCAACTCTGGGGTGTAGGGAGAGCTGGTGAGGTGACTTTGTAGAGCTGCCGGCCTTGGGCTGTCATTTTCTTCTCCCTTCCTACCCACCTGAACTTCTCTGACCTGTGTAATCATGTCTTTTTCCCATCCTCACCTCCTCCCAACCTTGTCCTCTTTTTCCTAACTGATAATCATTCTTTCCCTGCCCAAACTGGGTGAGGTTTGATTTCTCTTTGATTTTTATTTTTCCTCAAAAAGAAAATTCTTGTGTAAGATCATATGCTTCAGACAGCAACTCCCCCTCTTGAGATGGGTATGCCAAGACTGGGGCTTTGTTATATGGTTTGTGTGCCAGGTTAACTTTGGGACAGAGGCCTACTCCTGGCTGATAGGCACAGATGCCAATAAGAGGGGTCAGGAATATGTAAGTGCCAGTACTGTTTGGAGGTGGGAGAGTGGGAGGGTGTTGTCTTGGAGATGGAGGGAGCAAGCCAGGGGCTGTGGTGTAGGTGTGGGCGTAGGGGATGTGAGCTCTTGGAGAGGGTTGCGCCAGGGGGCCCACTAGGCTGGTGCCCATGGGGTTAGAGAGTGAAGGCCGTGGCTTCCTGCAGCCTCTCAGTTTACGCTGTATATTTTATAAAGGTGCAGCAGCTGGGGCTGGGTTTCACTCGTCGCTGTCTGTCTGTCTAGGGCTCCGCAGGTGTTGGATTTCTGTGTTTGGGAATGTGGTGGGTCCGCCAGGGTCATCCATAAAGGTCTAAAGGGGCTTGCTGTGTTTGCTAAGTCTCCCGGCCCGCTTTCTTTCTTGTTTGTGATTCTCTGTGCTGCAAACCAAAAGGAAAGAGGGTATCGAGCTGCTTCTCCTTGGCATTCATGATGAGGTGGCCCGGGAGGCACGGGGAGAGATCACCTGGTCTTCTAGTGGGTGGGATCTGGATGGAATCCTTTTGCTCTGTTGTTTCTTGTCATTACAGCTACAGGCCCACATTGGTGACTGGGTTGCAAGGTACGGAGTTCATGTGGCTATGCATTGAACACTATCTTTGTGGGCCTGTCTGTGTAAAGTCACTGAAAGTCACATAACGTCACTCCATTTGCTTTGGAACAGCAATAGGTGTGGAATTGGGAGTCTTAAGGGAGGGAACCCATGGTTCCAAGCTGAGCTCTCTGCTAGGCTGAAGGAGGCATTTAAAATAGGCTTGGATGCAGGAGTTAGTGGGCCAGGTGATGGCAATGATAAGTCGTTATTTTAAGATTTAAGAGCAGCCCCCCCCAAGGAGCCTGAGCCCTTATGTCTTTTTTTTATTTTTAAATCTTCATATTCCCTTCTTATCTTTATTCATATGCATATAGATTTTTCACCTCGTGGCGCATAACATTTTATATCCTGCTCTCTTGCTCACATCTAAAACATTGTCCCATATTGCTACATTTGAAGGGCAAATGGTCCTTTCTTTCTTCTACATAGTTTGGGATTTATTCTTGGAACAATTAGTATCATAAGAAACCTCTGTATTTGGACCATTTGTCTGCATTCCAATTGCTTTTACTATAGTGGACACTTGGCCTTACTAAGAGATGCTGCCAGGAGCAATATTTGAAATCTGTCACAGCACTTTCTATATTTATTTAGTCTGTGTACCCTGTGTGAAGAAATTTCTATTGAAGCTAAATGTAAACAAAAGTTTTTCTCTTCCTGAAGACCTGGGAGGTAAGGGTAGGGACCGTATGTTTTTTTACTTCTGTATGGTCAGGGCCTTGCAATTGCCTGATACATACGGAGCACCTACATGTTGAATTAATAGATTAAGAGGACTACATAACCCATCTTGGTTGCCTTTTGGCTTTGGCTTTCAGGAACCTCATATCCAAGTTGCTGGAACCCTTATACCCTGGTACTGGCTTGGGTTCCCCCTTTGTACTCCATGGAGCCAGACTGTAGACCTGACACAGCTGTTGGGAGAGGAGAGATGAGATTAAAGACCTGTGCTTGGGACATAATGCAGGTGGGAGATGTAGGAAGACAGTGTAGCTTATGATTCCCTGTCATTCACAGCCTTCTAAGGCAATGTTGGAACTTATCGAAGCAGTGATTTTCAATTTTAGTGTGTACAGGGATCCCCTTGAGTACTGGTTAAAATGTAGATTCCTGGGCTCTGGCCACAGAGATTCTGCTTTTGGGGTCTTGGGTGGGGTTCTAGACTCTACATGCAGGTGGTCCCTGAGCCATGCTTTAAGAAATGCCACCTAAAAGCAGCAGCAGCAGTGATAATTGCTCTTGCCATGCTTTCTGAGATTTACCAGACACATGTTAACCCAACCTTCTCCAGGTGGCATCTCTGCTGGTATGTGGCCATCTGTGCACATGGGCTGCTCTGTGATTTGGGGCCTCCTTCTGAGCTCCCAGATTGGGGTGTCAGTCCGTGATCAAGGCTATGGCTAGCTGAGCGGCTGGGGTTGTGGTATGTTGGCCACCAGAAGGGCAAAGGCTGTCCCTTTCTGGGTCCAGCTGGCCCTGGGGACTGAAATAGGATCCCCCTGGGTGGTGCCAGCTGAGAGTCCCCACCCCCTTAGTGTTGGCCTGAGTAGCCCCCATGACATTTGTGTCCCCTGTGGTATCTCCGAGTGAGACTTTCCTGTTAAGGATCTGGGTGAAGTGAGGGGAGGGTGAAGCAGCAATGGGGGGTGAGGCCTTGGGGGGGTGGTGAGGAAGAGAAATCTATGCAGCACTGGAACGCTGGGACTCTGGAACTTGAGGAAACATTTAAGGAGGTTGTACGCAAAACCATGCTTTCCTCCTAAGGATAAAACAGGCTATTTTTTGTTGACAGAGAAATGGACATCCTGTATATAAGTAACTGAGCTCCCCTGACTCTTCCTCCCAAGTGGATTAGGAAGCAGCCTGGAGGTCCCTTCTCTGTGCCAAGGCTTATGCTTGGCCAGTTTCATATAGTCATACTGTGAGCTGTGTGACTTAGCTCCTATGACACTGTCCTGTCACCCTGCCCTCCTATCCACCTTCTCAGAGTGACTTTGGGTGCCGGCATCATGGGGTGGGGATGGAGGTTTGAAGGTGGTCCCTTCCCATAGGAGAGGCCCCTGCTTTCTTCCAGCTGCTTGCTCTGGTCCCTTGTCAGAAGCTGTGCCCAAGCTTCGAGGCTGTGCTGAAACCCTAGAAGTGAACGACTGACCCCATTCTCTGATGAGGCTAGAGACAGGGAAAGAGAGGAGTGGGTGTGACAGGCTTCTTCCCCCATCTCTCTGCTTGCTGCTCTCTGGATAGCCTTGGCAGGCCGACAAGGGCCTGATCCCATGGGTGCCAAAAGGGTGGTGACAGGAGGAGATGGGCACTTTGCACCTCTTGAGTG